ACGCCCTGCCCAGCTCCGCCTCTGTGTAAACCGAACCGCATCTGCGGCATCACAGGTGCGGAAATGACCTCGCACCTGCGACCTCTGCTCACCTTCTCACTGGCCGCTTCTGCGGATCAACTCTCGCTTCTACGAGATCACACCTGTGATCCCCACTCCGCAGGTGCGATTACACCAGAAGCTGGTGAGCTTCAGCTCTTCCCTCAAACCTCAATTCGATCCGTTAACCGTCCGAAATCACCCCGAGGTCCCCGGGACCTCAACCAAACATACCAACAAGTCTTAACACCTCATACGAACTTAGTTGAGCCTTCAAACCACCTCGAACAACATCAAAAACACGAATCGCCTATAGATTCAAGCCTAATGAACTTTAAACTCCTAATTTCTACAAACGATGCCGAAATCTATCAAATTACATCCGATTGACCCTAAATTTTGCATACAAGTCACAAATGACACCACGGACCTACTCCAACTTCCGAATCGAAATCCGACCCCGATATCAAAAGGTCCACTCCCGGTCAAACTTTTCAAAAATTCAACTTTCGTCATTTCAAGCATAATTCCACTACGGACCTCTAAATCATAATCCGGACACGCTCCTAAGTCCAAAATTACCTAACGGAGCTAACGGAACCATCAAAACTCCGTTCCGGAATCGTTTACTCAAAGATCAATATCCGATCAATTTTTTCAACTTAAGCGTTCAACCTTGAGACTAAGTGTCTCATTTCATCCAGAAATCTCACCGGACCCGAACCGACTATCCCGACAAGTTACATAACAGTTATAAAGTACAAAATGAACAGTAAATGGAGGAACGAAACTATAACTCTCAAAACGATCGGTCGGGTCGTTACACAAGTCGAACCCAAAAGTTGATGCAAAGACTACTTCTTATTGTGTGAAATTGATAAGTGTAGTGCTAAAAATAGCTACGAATTGCGACTGTCCAGAAGGCTCATCTCTATGTGGTATCACTCGTTAAGGTGGCTTATGCAATTGTTTCCGGCATGGATTAGGCTAATGCAATACCAATTCCTAGCCACATAGGAGGTACGATGAGGCACGAAAATATATCAAGTTTAATTGAAATACGACAAGAATTGAGGGAAAATAAAGAAAGAACTGTAATAATCATTATTCTACTCGGCCCACGTTACTACATGCAAAGATATCCTTGTTATTCTAATGTAAATACTTGGCGATTAAATCAAGTGGCATAACCTTAATTTACGAGAATAAGGATTCTTACGAACTATCAATCAAAAGACATATTGTTATGAGAAAATAACCTTCTATAGCCCCTTTAAAATTTTAATAGCTCTTATTTTTTTTCTATTGACACGAAATGGTCCTCCAGCCCAAATATATTATATTTAATAGCCCAAAATTATCTATTTTGTATATTTTTTGTATAATGACAGTCTATTTTGTATAATGTTTATATAGCGATAGTCTATTATATATATTTTTTGTATAGTAACAGTCTATTTATTATATTTTGTATATATACGGTCTATTTAGTATATATATTTTGTATATATTTTGTATAGTGACAATCTATTCTATATAAATTGTATAGTGGCAGTCTATTTAGTATATTTTTGTATAGTGACAGTCTATTTAGTATATTATTGTATAGTCATAGTCTATTTCGTATATATTTTGTATAGTGACAGTCTATTTTATATACTGACAGTCTATTTTTGTATATATTTTATATAGTGACAGTCTATTGTATATAAATTGTATAGTGACAGTTTATTTTATATAATTTTTTTATAATGACAGTCCATTTTGTATATATTTCGTCTCCAGTCTAATACATAATCTAAAATGACTTTTAAATATTAGCCTCATATACAATTTTTTACGAAAAAGTTGGTCCAAAAAAAAAGATTGATAAAAGAGTCATGTTTGATATGCACGAGTTGCAACAGAGGATGGAGAGAGTAATTGATACTTGGGGGCCAAATGGGAGCCAACCCTTTGAAACAGATTACAAAGAGGAAATGGCAATGATCAGAAAAGACATTGTTGATTTCCATGGTGAAATGGAAGGTTTCAAGAATTGAATACAAGATTTGTCAAATCTCAGCCGTTGTAGTATTAATATTAATGGTGCCCAGACTCCAGCTTCGACCTCACCACAAATCATGAAATCGAAATCAAAACCCAGTCAGTCTAACCCACTATGCTCGATCTCGTTGGCTTTAGATCTGGACGGAAACTCAAATACCGGCGACCCTCCATTAAATCTGACGACTCTTTCTTCTCGTTTTATTTATTATTTTTGGGGCTTTTGATATTATGAAAATCTAGATCTAAAAGATGGTTTGCTTGCTATTTGAATTTCGGCAGATCTGGCCGGTATATAACTTTTCCGGCGACCGTGAATTTTTCGGCCAGTGCTGTGACCGGTGAAGTTTTCCGGCTAAACCATTCCGGGCCGAAAATTATTTCTCCAGTGAATCTGTGTTTGTGCTCGTAGGTCAGATCTATAATTCGGTGGCTAGCCACTAAAATTACTTTTGGATTATAAAATATATATATTATAATTTTGAACTATCGGATATTATAAGTTTGGTCCGAATGACTATAAATAAATTTTGCTCTATTGTTATTCATGGCTTGTTCAACTTGAATTCTTCTAGCATGCACTGACATCTTTATTCAAGTTTGAAATTTGGTTTCGGAAAATTGCTGCTAGTTAAAGAAGAAAAAACAATGCTATTTCTTTTCTTTAAGAAAAAGGGCGGTAAGAAATGTCGCTCTCATTATTACTTCAAATCCCGTCTTGGGTTTCAGTCAGTGTCGTATCCATAATTTTGTACAAGCGGGTTCAATTTTAGAAGTACATAACTTTAGTCGTAAAATAGTAATTGTCAAGTGGGCTCAAATAAAATATTTATACAAAATTTACACAGTTTTAATTCTAATTTATACATATACACAGTATTATTTTTTGGCGAAGCGGGTTCAATTGAACCCGCTAGCCACCACGTGGGTCCGCCACTGGTTTCAGCGATCTTACACCCAACAAGTCTTGAAGTATGGGGCATTTGTAAGTAATTAAAATTTTATTAATTTTAAATTCATAAAAATTTAAGTCTAATCCCAAATTAAATATATTTTGATCCGAACAAATATTATGGACTAATATATATTGGGTTAATTATTTAAATATAAGTAAATTGATTTAAATAAAAATCCAATATTATTGCGCTAGCCTATTTAGATGGATATTATTGTGCTAGCATATTTAGATGGTTTTCTCCTAACTAGGTCGACCTATGAAAACTAAGCCCATGGCTCATAAGTCTTTCTTAGAGGCTACTCCACCGCACAACTGGGGTCACTTCTCTTATTTGAGAAGAAGAGAAGTGGAGGACTAACAAGAAGACACAAGGGAGCTCGTGAAGAACTAAGCCCACGGACTAAAATGGGGTCACTTCTCTTATTTGAGAAGAAGAGAAGTGGATGACTAACAAGAAGACACAAGGGAGCTCGTGATCAAATGTCACAATTCTCTATAAATTTCGAGTGTTCAAGCATTCAAGCACTTCAACAAAAATTTCAAGTATTCAAGATCAAGAACGATGTCAAATCAAATACAAGGAGTTAAAGATCAATGCTACTTGTCCGATAGAGTTCGTGGCGACCATCAAGATGTTATCTTAGACAAGAAAAATCAGAGAATTCAGAGATTGTAACGCTCATATTATATGAAGTAAAATACTATGATTGTTACAATATTCTTCATTCCCGCTTAATTTCTTGACGCGAATTTTATTATCTACATTTGCTACACACGATTATTGTATTCCAATGTATAAGAAGATGATGGAATTTTTAATTAAGGAGCTAGAAAATAAAATAGAATGTGATTGTGAAACATGAGTTAGACCACAAAAAATGTGCTAGTTGGCACGACGATCTAAGTAGGCCAAAAATGCAAAACTACACATTAGCACCAAATATGGATAGTAAGTTTGATATGATAGCTCAAAGAGAATGAATGCTCTTATTTTTACTAGCTACATGAGTTTTTGCATCTATCTCTGCACGCTATATGTACTTACCAACTGCAACGTGCAATTTTCCATAATTTTCATCCCAAGGGAACATAAACAAGAGGAATTGGCTAAGACGTAAGCTCTCTCTACCTATAACGATTAGTCATATAAGGATAAAAAGGGACCCTATTTTCTATCAAAAACATTTTTAGAGAAATAAAATTCTCAAAATTTTCAACGGTCTTAAATAATAACGAAATCTTTTTATGAATTTGGTCAAAGTTCATTACGTCCTTTCAAAAACAAATCTAGGCAAAAGCTGGGCCCGTTTGGCCATGTAAACAATTTCACTTTTTTAGATTTTGTTTTTTTTTTTCGAAATCAGTGTTTGGCCATAAAATTTTTAATTTTCACTTGAATATGCATTTTGGAATTTTTCGAAAATTTGAAAAACTCCAAAAAGTTATTTTTCAAAATTTTTACTTCAGATCACTCACAAAATTCAAAACCAGTCCAAAATTGTATTCATGTCCAAACACAACTCTAATTTTCAAATATTATTTTCACTTGGAAAATAATTTCACATTTTTTTTTAAAATTTTATAATTTTTATGTCCAAACGCCCACTAACTTATATTGATTAAATAATAAATTGAAGTGAAAATATGGATAATTAAGTAGAGTTTAGGATAATAGTGTATGTAAAGTCATGTGCCAGATATTCATAGGATTGGGGTAAACACGGGTGCCTATAAACTAAAAAAAGGATAACAAAATAAAACAAAGCTAAATAGATATACCGGTCTGATACATAAAGCGGACAAACTAAATTAACCATCTAGACCATTTCTGTAAAATCGTGACAAATTAGAGGGTATATCTGGAATAAAGAAAATCTCCTTTCCCGCCATTCGCTACTCGCCTCTTCCATGTACAAAACAGAATTTACAACTCCAACCAATTACAGCCTCGGTTAAAATCAGTCTCCACTAATCTGTTACTCAACAACTCACATAACCGTTTCTTTCTCCTCTCTCTTTCTCTCTAGAACTAGAACAATGGCCGACGTACTCTTCCTAGTCTCTGTTGTACTACTCGCCGCCGGCAGTACACCTCCGGCACTGCTGTCAACACCACCGCCGTCTTCAGGCTGCGCTGACGAACTAGTGGCGTTCTCTCCATGCCTTCCGTACATTTCCGACTCCCCGAACAACATCTCCGATTCGCCTCCGGTTCAGTGTTGCGATAACTTCGCGGCGGCGTTTGATGATAATACTGCGATTTGTCTTTGTTACCTCGTTCATAACCCTCAGATCCTTGGTTTCCCTATCAATTCAACGAAGCTGATCTCGCTAACTTCTGTTTGTCCTGTTAAGGAGAATGAAGGAGAGGAGAATTTATCTCTTGAATCTCTCTGTTCAGGTAATTTTGCTTCCGATTTCACGCCTGTTTACGTACATTTTCTGTGACTGCACATGAATCTTCTAGATGTATCGAAACTTTTCGTTATGGACTGATAGTAATATTATACTTGGAAGTAAATGTGTTAATTAAAGTTGCTCTGTTTCAAAATGTTTGATGCTTCCGTCTTAGATGTTCAGGCTAATTTTGATTTAATCGATCGGTATTTTAAAAATGTTTATTTAATTTTAATGTTTAATCATTTTGATATGAGGTGAATTCTAGCTTATGTAATTGTGTAGTTTGTAAATACTTATCTAAACTTTTTTTTTTAAAATGATTCAATTTAGCTCTAACAGTTGATCAAAACTGGATAGATGAGATTATGAGAAGTTCCAATATGGGACAATAGAGAACTATATTACCTATACTAGATTTTTTGTTGTTTCTTTGAGGAAACAAAAAAAGGAAAATACTGGTTCTGCTTTTGGCAGCAGTAATTTTTATACGATAGAGTTCAGAATGTGCTGCTTACCTACGTAAGCATTTTCCTAATACATGCATTTAGATTTGGAAGAATTTGCTACATACCTTGTGATGCAGTCGATACAAACGAAGATTTATATAGTATGGAATAATGCATACTGGTAGTATTAATTACTAAGGTAAAATGATAAACCTTATGTAGAAAACACATGTTATGTATGCATCATTTGCGAGTAAATATATTCACTTAGCGTGGATCATGATTCCATAGTTGCATTTGAAAGTACAAGAGGGGTTCCATAGTTGACTAAGTTTTAGTTTAGTCGACTGGTTTTCGAACAGCATACAGATAAGATAGAGATGAATGCAATAAATTGAAAGCAAAACAAGACACAATAGTTTTTATACTAGTTTAGTACCAGTGTGGTACTTACGTCCAGTTTCCCTTGGGTCACAAGGGTTCTCTTAGATCTTGATAAAGAATTACAACACTGATGGTTTTAGCTCGTTCACCACCAACGATGTTTAGCAACAATAATTTCTGGATGTTGACACAATTCTCTTTTGTGTTCTAACTCTTCCTATCTTTTGTGGTACTCGTAGACTTAAGAATACAGTGCTTGTACTAAGAACTAGAGAGACTTAGAAGACAGTGTTTGTAGTTGCGCAGTTCAATCCTTGAGTTTGCCAGTGTTCTTATAGGCGAGTATTGTTGTGTATTTGGTATTTGATTCGAGGAAGTTCCTTCAAGAGAGATGGGCTAGATTTATTAATCCAAGGAGTGCTATGTTCCATGCCGAAAATGATCAGCACTTCAAGTTGTCTCATTTGGCGGGGTGGATTAATTAATCGAAGGAGTGCTTCATTGTTTTATCAAAGAAATGAGCAGCACTTCTAATTGTCTCCCACTATGTTGTGTTTCGTACTCAAATTGTTTTCGTCCTTCGTTCTTGGTCTTCTTGGCTAGTGCTTCTGCTGAATCTTCTGGGATTTGGTTTCCTTTTTGATAGCTTCTTGTCCTAGCATCATCTGATTTAGCATCACCAACTTTTCTTTGATCTCATTTCCTTCTGTTGGTGCCTTGATTCCTACAATCAAAGTAGATAGGAATTAGTTTTGCACAATTGTCATCATTGAAACTTGGATATAACAGCATTAACTTAAAAAGAGTTGTAACTTAGCCATATATGAGTAGTCCATCTGCAGTATTACATAGCTAGTTCCAAACTGAGCACTATTCCTGGAACCAATGCCTTAACCAGTTAACCTCTTTCTCTATTGCCCATTTTGTTTCTAATTTTACACTTGAGTTTCATTCACCACTTGCGTTATTCTGGACTCCTTTAGGGGCACATATATGAATTGCAGTATACTTCTAAGAGTTCAGTATACTCATGTTAACCTATTCGACACAAATATGTTAAAGACAAATGAAAAATTACATATATAGTTCATTACACAGAAGATTTTACATTCAAAGATTATCCATTTCAATCAGTACACAATATCTCTCGACATAAAAATGCTTACTATTTTTGTTTCCGTGACTCAGGATCAACTATGCTGCCTCCTTTTCGGGCGATAACAGGTAATTCTCCTTTGATCTTTTGCTATTACCAAACTGGTGATGCTATTTATTCAGAATATCCTGCTCACTTCATTGTGTAAAAATTTCTAGCAGATCACAGGGGTTCAAGTTCGGGTCCAAGGCGTCCTAGCCTTAGCCCTAGCCCAAGTCCTAGGCCTACACCACGCATTCCACACCCAGGTAAGCTACACTAATTGGAACTGATATTTATATCTTCTGTTTCTTTTAATGTTTATAACTTTGACATACCAATTGTTCCCTTCAATTTTCATGAATACCTTGCTACCACATTTAGGGGCACTATTGTATCTCTAATCACATTCATAAATTGATAAAGCCACAAACTGCATTTCTAGAAGCTTAGATAGGAAACTACTACTACTAGCTTCCAATATGGACGAAAAATGAATGGAAGAATAAAACAGGGGAATGAATTTTGAAGGGGGGAGTTGAGTTTATACTAGAAAAAATGAATTATCACTTTATTGCAGGTGATCATGATAACCCTTCACCGCAAGAACCACCAGGACAAGGCAATTCATCACCACCATCCTCTGATGTTGATGATAATCCTTCTCCTGCTGCTCAGGCCACACCATCATGTGCATCAACCATAGCCATACGAATACTGAGTTACCATATAGGGTTTCTCATTCCAATATTGATTTTCCTGTTTTTCTCTGAATGTGGTGATAATCCTTCTCGTGCTGCCTAGGCCACACCATCATGTGTATCAATCATAGCAAAAGGAATAATGATATGGAATTACTATCTCTGTGGTCTCTCTGCCATAATATTCACTCTCCGGTATTTCTCTCGCAAGAACACAACTTAGGTATTACTGTCTCTTTCATGGCTTCATAAACACACAGGTCAACATATTAATAACTCCTTCTGAAGTGTAAGCATCAGATTGGATTTTGAAAAACACCTATTGTGAGGCTTGGAAGCCCTAGTAGTTTCATTCTGACCTCCAAAAAAACAAAACAGATGTTGCCAGTTTTATTTGTACTGGAGTTATTTCCACTCATTCTGGTACATAATCTGAGTATTAATCTTGTATTGCAGTTTTCATATACCATTAGAATGTAGTTGGCTGGTTTATATGCAATTGCAATAGAATTTTGCGTTCATTATATGTCATCTCAATATATAGCTCACAGGCTTTGTTGGCGTTTTTGCTGGATCGGTGCGATGATCTAAAAATGCCTTTATGTATCTACGCACTCTTAAATATGCTTTTAGCATATGCTCAATTTAGAAAATACATCAGTTTTCCTGAGCCGAGGGTCTATGAGAAACATCTTCTCTATCCTCACAAGGTAGGGGTAAGGTCTGCGTAAATTCCACGGTGTAGGATAATACTGGGTATGTTGTTGTAGAAAATATATCAGTTTAGCCTAATAAACAACACGTATTTTTTCGTTACTTTGCTTTTACTTTGTGCTTTTGTGCACTTAATATTTGTTCTCAGCTAGAGGATTCTATCAAATATCTGCTCATTGACAATAAGGGAGTTGGACAAGATAGAATTATATATTAGTTCAAAGGAAATAATGAAAAATCCTGTCTTACTAGCTACAGCCATCCATTCTATTACTAACTCGTATTGCTCTTGTTCGTCCTTTTCCTTAGTTCTTAGCTTCAGTTGATCAGTTGGTGTCACCATTTACTGAGCGATAAATTTACATGTCATAAGGACTAGAACTAGATGAAATATATGTGTACGTTGCTCTTTCTTTGTTTTTTTTTCCCTAGAGGCGTTAGGGGAGGCCGGAGNACTTTAAGCTCTCTCTCTTGTTCTTCTTTCTAAATTTGGGTTACAAAAAAGGAGATTCCATTAAGAATTGAATAAAACAATTAAAACTTCCAAAAAGGTGAGAATAATTTTCTTTTCTTGGGTTATATATACTATTATTTGATTGCTTTCAAGAAATAACGTAAGATGGGTATGTAAACTAGAAATTTTACAGATTACTCCATCTTTTACCCCATCATATGGCAGATATTCTCAATAAATGACAAACACTTTTAATACTTTGCCCTTTCATTTGTTTCCATTATTCTAGAGGACTTTTTTAGTCTGGCACTCAAGTTGGTGTAGGAAATTGGAAACGTTCTCTTTCTTCCAATCAACACTGCCTTTAAGTTCAATATACCGTCAGCGCTCCGAAGTTTGAGGGAGTAAAATGAAGCCACCCTTTAACATATTCAGAATGTTAAATCTGGCAAGGTTATTCTAGAAAAAGATAGCCTGATTAGCTCCAAAATGATCCATAAGAAGCCTCAGAATCTATGTGAAGCAGCTTCCAGCAAACCTACCTCCCAACTTTCTCTTTTAGCATATTAAGTTCTCCCCTGCATTATTCACTTGAAGCTCTTATAGTTTATTTGAAACTTATCCTCCAACACAATCCACATGCTTAATCGAGTCTTTTTAACCAACAGCCTCAATCAAACTAACTCTATTTTGGTCTGAAGCTTATTGGTGACCCCTGTATTACCGCTATTTTCAAACAAATGAATGAAGAGACACATGCTAGCATAAAACATGTGATAGTTGAAACATAAGAAAGTCTCACATCACCAGCTTTCCATCAACCTGGAACTTGAAAATAATTAAAACTAAATTCCTTCCTACAACTGGTGTACCGATCAAACAACGAACACTTGTAGCATCAGATATTTAGGCAGTTATAATGACTGAAGTTTTTCCCATCACATAAGATTCATATGCTTAAAGAGTAAACAAAACAACCAAAAGCAGAGCTTCAAGAGTCGGAAACAGGGGCATCTTTGACAGACTGGCGCCAAGCATATTCCCTAGCTCCATCCTTGTCGACAATTTTAATCACAAAGTTTGGTGGGGCAACCACCAGCCTAGATCGGATCTCCATGATGCACTTATCTGCTAAATCAACAGCTTCTTCAACTGTCATGTCCTTCCGGTAGTGCCTATCCATCATGGCGAGAGAGAAATAGGAGCCATAACCAAATGCTGCCTTATCCACTTTGTGAAGAGTAGCGATATAATCAACGTAATAAAGAGAAGGGCCTGTCTCCTTGTCATAGCCAGCCAGGATAATGTTCACCATGTAAGGATTCTACAAAAACAACATTGCAGTTACCCAATGTGTAGCAGATAACCAATTGCACATCAAAATTCTGAAAACTAGCCCTTGAAAGAATGACGACTTTTCAAGGATAAAAACAGACCGGAAGGTTTCTTTCCCCAACATCCTCTCCATAATAAGTAATCAAAACCAAGGAATTCAAAGATAAGGGACAATAAGGGCGAAAACTGGCCAAGACACTCTACATTTTGTTTTAAAAAGCTTCAGATGTCAAACAGAAGAGTGTGACACCTTGGTTCCATTGTCATAAATCTGATCATGCTTATAAAGAGAGATGGTAGGAAAGATCAATGATGCACCCATTTAGGTGGACCCTAACAGGTGTATAAATATAATTATTAACACACAGTAGCAACTAAAGAATGCAGCGGAGAATGGATTTATTGGCTTTAGTATTTCACCAGTTCATTACAGTATCTTAAAAAAGAAAAAAACAAATTACGAGAATCTTGCACATTTTCTTTTATCTATAGCTACACTGCTGCCCAGATTCAGCTTTATTTTGCTTCTCTACTCTGTAACCAAAAGATTAAGTAATACCATTTGTGTGATACTATCAATACTCTTACCATGTAAAGTCAAATCTGAAATCAATCTTTTCTACCACCATTCTCCCTTTATCTATTATTTGGTTTTCCACATATCAGACTTCACTATTTGGTAAGTAAGATCTCTTCCTATCAAAACTATGTCTCATAAGCGGGATTGAAGGAGAAATACAAATTAGTATTTCCTAATACGACATTGTTTCCCTTCTCTTTTTCTTTCTTTCCTTTTCATTTTAGATTCTAACGCAAGACTAGGCTGTATCTTCAAGCCAAGCTCTCTTCTCTAATCCTCTTCTCAATTCAACATAAACTCAAAGTCATTATTATTTTCTTTTCCCATTTAGTAGTTGTATATAATTGAGTTTTAAACAATAGGTGTCTTGGCTTTAAGCATTCTAGAATTTTAACTAGAAGTTTAAAAAGATAGGGTGTTAATGCATTTAAACAGTTCTTTTTCTTCTCTTTTCTTGAGGTGTTTCATCTATTCCATGGTTTTTGTTATCCTTTTACAGGAAACACATCTATACTGATCAGGCAAAAACTTAGGAGAAATAGTTTGATTACAATGTTTGCTTTCAATAAAGCACTATGCGAGCTGTAATGTACAGAGGAATAGGTAAAATGAATTTTCTTGCAACATTTAGCAATGATGATATCTGTGCTATAAATTGATTCCTGTCTCCCATGCTAAAGTAAGTTTTAATTGCACATATACGTTTTTCTGAATGATGTTCATATGGATATCTACATGATAGTGGTGTGTAATTTGTTAGGGAATGTGGGTTCAAAGATGTCCTAATGAATACAAGTGATTCTTCTCCTGTTAACAGATCCTATTCAAGAATTTTTCCCGAACAAGTGATCCAATTCAAGATTTTTAAATGGGTGAATGACTATCTGCCCACATCTTCCTCATATGCATGCTTCCTCTTAATGGTGGCCAATTCTTAACGACTTCATTTCCAACTGTATTAACACATTAACCGTAGTCAGTACTCAAGCTGGAGCAAACCCCCTCCCCCTCCTTGTCCAACTTAATTTAGATGGTTGTTCTAAGGTTAATTCGGTTTGAAGTGGCGGTGGAGGAACCAGCGCAAGCCGTATGGCGACATATCCTAGGCCTATTTAACTAGTCATAAAAAGAGAGCAAGGTGGTTTCGGTGTAAATGGTTTTGAAGCAAGTCACTATTTATTTCATCGTACTTCACAACTACGAGATTAACAAGAATACATGGAGGCCATAAAGCTGCAACAATAACAACCCAGTATAATCCCACTAGTGGGGTTTGGGGAGGGTAGTGTGTACGCAGACCTTACCCCTACCTTGGGGTAGAGAGGCTGTTTCCGATAGACCCTCGGCTCCCTCCCTCCAAGAACTCCCCGCCTTGCTCTTGGGGCGACTCAAACTCACAACCTATTGGTCGAAAGTGGAGGGTGCTTACCACTAGAGCAACCCACTCTTGTCAAGGTGGGAGGCCACAGAGCTACTAAAATTCCCCAGCTTTACAAGATGGGAATCGAACCCTCACCAACAAGGTGAAAGTTCAGGTAGCCAGCCCACGGAGCTACTACAATTCCCCAAATTAGAAAAGATTAAAAATGATTTCCATGCGACACAGGGTTCAAAGGGCACATATAGAGGATAAAAAGAGAAAAGGTCACTTGAGATAATTTGGTCATGTTTTATGTAAACCTACAAATGCACCAATATGCAGGTGTGATACAATGATGATTGAAGGTGCAAAAAGAGAAGGATCTAAACCTAAAATCATATAGAGGGAAGTTCTCCGAGAGGACCTAAAATGCTTTCTGCTCTCTCTAAATCCCTATGGATTTAGCTAAGAATGAACACAACGGAAGCAAATGATCAGTGTAGATGATCCCAATTAGTTGGAGTAAGACTTAATGGTTGATACCTACACTAAATCTCATACTTGCCAGAATCTGTTTAGTTTGCTAAATGATTTGTTTGTCAGTGCAGGAATAAGTGTGAGACCTAAAGAAACTCTAATTTTAGATAACCCTTACTTTGTCTTAAAAGACAAATTACTGAGTATTAAAATAAAGTGGGCCCCAATAAAGCAAAATCAA